ATGGGTCCTTTAAGACAGCATTGTGCTAATCAGCGTTTTTAACACCCAGCCCACAAAAGAACCTATTTATTTGGTTGGGAGACAGGTGTTAGCAACGTCTTTTGGCCCAGAGTTCTAGATTATTGTGGCATGACTGGCAAGTCGAAAGAAGGGCAGCATGGAAGAGGGAAAGAGAAACAAAAGAGACTGAAAGGAAGACGAGGAAAGAAATGTATATCAGGTGCTACTTAATGGGGCCACCCTCAAAGCTGCCTAGTCTGAGCTGAGCTCCCGGGCTACCACCCCAAAACATAAGACAAAACTTGGACTAATTTATTCCTGCCGACAGTAACTCTGGGTACATGCCTGCACTCTAGTCATTCTAAAAAGAAGTTTAGGTGTCCAATGGCTCATTGTTCTTACTCATATTCTCTGGTTCTTAACATTAGTCCTTATTCACACATTTCCTTAAAGAAAAAAAGAAAAACTGGACAGATAGTCTCAGAAAGAGACACGGGCCCAGGCAGATTTAGAAAGGCATCTGAAGCCTACAGAATAAAAATCCTATGAGAAAGTGAGACGAGAAATTCACAGAGTTGCCTAGAACATACAAATGTCGTGTTTTCTCTTTCAGTCACTTAACCATCCTACCAGATTGTTATTTTCATTTCGCAAATGAAGCTCACAGTGGCTAATGAACTTGTCTGGGGAGACAGCAAGGCGAAGCTGTAGAGAAGTTGGAACGCAAAACAAGGTTTGTCTATTTCCTAAATTGTTAAGACTTTTCCCAAGTTTAATGCCATCATTAACACACTTAGTGCCCTGATTATGTTTTAACCCCTGGTGATTCTGTATCTCAGCCACTTTTCTCCCTTCCGTGAAATCACTAAATTCTGCTGACTTATTATTGAGAATCCATTAATTTTCAATAAGTGCTTCAGTCTTGTAGAAAAGAAACATCTGGAAAGTTGGCTTTCTTTTTAACTCCTACAAACAGAGAATCCCCAGTCATCTCTGCCATCCAGCACTGCTCATAACTAGATTCGATTGCCCTTTTCAGACCTCCAGCAGTTTCCACATTATCATTCATTTGTCTACTCAGGAAATAAAGGAAGCTACTCTCACCAACCCTCCCTCATGACTCCCGATAGACAATACAGCTGGGGGAGGGGGACCAAGCTGGGAGGAGGAGCTCTGTAATTTACATAAAAGTTATAAAAGCTCTTTGTTATCTGATGCCACTAGGAAACCGGCAATTCCAGCAAGTCAAACATCCTGGGTAACCTAAGGATGCTTTTAAAGGGACTACCAATTTATAAAGAATTTCAGAGCAATAGAATGGTGCTTCCGAAACTTGGCTGCATAAGAGTCACACGGGGAGATTTTTGGAAATGGAAGCCAGAGCAGTTCCTTTAAATGCAGATTTCACTCATCACGTATCCACTCACTCAAAGCCTCTAAGAGGTGGGACTCAGAACTCTGTAACTCTGTATTTCTAAATACCTCCATGACTCAGTAGCAAATGTCAGGTACCCAAGTAGTAATTGGTCTGGAGGAACTCCTGGCAATAGAAAACACTACGGCTAAAACTGCACTGAAAACAATGTGACCTGATGATTCAGAATTCCAGGATCTACCAAAACCTTTGACTAATCACTTATTACTACTAGTCCCTAGTGACTGCACTAGTCAAACCAGAAAATAAGGAAGGGTTAAGAAGATTTTGTATTGGTATAAAGCTGGAAAAACCAGCTTTTGGTTTTGTATAGGATTCAAAGAGCTGATTCCTTTCTCCCCCACCCCCAAGAAACAAAGATTTTATGCTTCTTTGTAAAAGGACATTGTTTAAGAATATCAGTAGGATACTTTGCAACTACTTAGAATGTTAACAGGCCCAAATGCATCAAACATGAAATATTCAACCCAATAATCTTAATGAAGTGAAAGGAGGATAGTGAGCCTCAACTAAGAATGGCATACCAGTTTAGATGAAACTACTGACCACAGCAACTGTTAAATCCTGGACACAGGAGAAGCCAAGCTCTTTCAATGCTGGAGGCCACTGATTACCTACCTGGGAGAGCTTTCAAGTGGGATCTAACAGAATATCTTATTAAGGGCCCAACTAGTTTTAGGACAAACTCAGCAAATAGGAAAATAACCCATTCATCTCCCTAATTGAAGAAATGAAAGTTTACATGTTTGGACCTGTCCTGACAATTGCCAATATCTTGCATAAACACAGTAGCTAGTACCACTAACAAGTAACTGAACAAAAATAACCAGTAACCACTATCAAATCGCTAACCACGACCTAACAGCAGCAACAGTAATGAAGTAGTTCATCCCTTGAGATTTCACCAAGAGCAACGTATACTACGCATTAAACTCTAAATCTTATTTTAGTTCTGGCAATACAGAGTTTAAATCTTTCTTCCTAAAACAGAGTGGAGTCAGTACAAGTTTGATATAAGTCTCTAACCTATCATTAATGACAATATTAGGTTCTATTATAGAAAACCAAGGAGGAATGGAATTAATCTAACAGTCCTTCGGTTTATGTAGGTCTTTTCATAAAGTCCAAGGCACAACACTCCTAGAGATGGGTATTCAACACTACAGTGAACATGTTATGATGACAGAAATTGTGCCATCTTTAATTTAGTTAGTGTATTTTGTCTTCTTCAAATGTTGGTAACTGAAAATCCGATTTCCCCTACTACTTAAAGAGACAGTCCTATTAGCTGGTGCAAAGCACAGTTACTCTTCATGACCTGGTTGGAAAAGTTTTAAAAACCAATTTATAAGCTTTCTGAGAACAGCTGTCTCTTTTTGTGTGTATTATTTTACCAACTGGTTAAATTAAGTCAATTTAGAGGATGTATAACCCCTGGGCCCAATGTAAAAGAGTAATAGCTGTCTATCTGATCAATATGAAAGTCTGTAGTGGTCTTTGTAACTAGGATAGACACTGTGTATGGCCTTGACTACACAGAAATTCTCTTCAAGCACCATCAAGTGTAGCCACAACAGTCTACAATTGTGGTACAATTTTCAAACTTAGGGAAATAATCGCTCTAAATAAACTATAATTTCTGGACTATATTCTGAAGTCCAGATCATTATGCAATGTGCCATAAAGTTCGAGAAACACTTGTCATCGTTTATTTCCTTGAATGTGAAAGGGAATGCAATCAGGGTAGAGGGTCAAGTTGTCAAATTTGAAATGCCCCAAGCACATAGAAGTACCGCTGCCAGCTCCCAAGAATTCTGTAGGAAAATGGGGCAATAAATGAACAGTCTTGACCACCTATCAGTAACTCTGTCATTGGGCAAACCACAAGACTCTACTAAACAGAGCAACAGGGTGACAGAAATCCTCTGTTCTCCAAACCACCTGTACAAGGATGTATAAGGAACTTTGCTTTCTTAGCAGCAAATGCAGGCTGTGGCTTCATGTGGCTGTGGCTTCTTGCCAGTGAGAAGTGACAATTGTGGGTAAAGTCCTATTTCCAAGCTAACAATAATCCTTCCCTGGGGTAGACTGGGAGAAGCACTGCACACTCTTCCCTGATTACACAAACGAGTCTTTTCTCCCTGGAATAAATGACAGAACAACAAAAAGGAGAAAATATGCTGCTGTTTATACTTTCTGCTAGCCTGAATTCAAGCTCTGACTGAGCAAACAGATGCCAGGGAGGCTCTGGCTCCCCTGTCTAGCCATACATCCCAAACGTGGGACAAGTCTCCCGGGCACCCAGCCGGCCAGAGCCCACTTCCCTCTCCCGCGGGGCAACTGAAGCATAGTGGCCACCTCACACATTTCACCCCAAATGAACAGAGGAAAACTTCTAAAAGAGGGAACAGTGGCGGTGGGGAGAAGAACCACATTTCCAAACTTCTCCACCAAGCCTCCGAGCTCCAGCCGCCTCCCTCTCCCGAAAAGCCTGCAGGCCCACGGTAGTTCCTTCAAAGAGGAACAGCAGGCCGCCACGTTCCTGCCTCAGTTTCCTCTGCAGTGGGAGCAATCTTTGCCCCCCAAACCTACTGATCTGCCGGCCAGTAAGCTGTTTGGAGATACCTGCGGACACACAGTTCCTGTTACTGCCCCCGCGGGTGAAACGCTTTCTTTGAGGGGACTTTTTATGGGACAGGTGCGGGCTACCCTCCGCCTTCCCCCAAGCCTAGAAGGGGGCACGGAGACCCCCCCCAGGCCGCGCCCGGCACAGAGTTGTCTCCAGACCAAAGCTGGCAGGACTTGCGGCCGAGCAGCGTTCCGCACCCGGCCTCCCGGGTCCCCAGCCCAGACCCGCGCCCCGCGGACCCCAG